TTTCACGGTATATTCCTGCTGCTGCATCCAGGATCGGCCCAACAGCCAGCATTCACTGCACCCAGCTTCAGCTAATCAGCACATCCTGGGCCATGTCTAAGATAAGCAAACTGCTTCACTTTCTACCAGTTGTTAATAGAGATGGACTGATTGCAGATGTACTATAACTCTGCTGTTTTTAGATGTAACCTAGATGTAACTTAAAATGTCAAGGAAACTTTAGGCTGTAATTTATATCAAAGAAGAATTCCACTCTCTTCCTATGACTCATCATTCCCACCTGTGCTGCCATCTCCACAATGTCAGCACTTAAATCGCAGTGCTGGCAGAAAGGAAAAGGAGGAAAGAATTGGGTGGAGGCCCAGTTTCGGTCAGGTGAGATGAATCTTATCTTGTTTGCACCCTGAGAGAAGGAAATGCTTTCCAGGCTTGTCTGTATACTAGACAAGAAGTAAGAGGGCAAAGCATTTTTCCACTCGTATGGCCAAATAATCTGTCTTATTACCCTAAACAAATGGCTGGTGAGATCCTGGTCAACTGAAGCTTGCTTGTAATAACTATGGAGGGAATTCCAGAAGACTGGAAAAGTGTTAATGTTTTACTATTACACTCTGGATATGCTTTTACATAAACATATGCTGGCTAACTGGATATTCTTTTTAAAATAAAATGTAGTGACTGTTTTCATACGCTGTTAAAAGATGGGAATTTCATGATAACTGCTCACCATGCTTCTATGGAGAAACAGGTCAGAAACAACCTTTTAGTCCCTGAAGAAAAAATGTTGATTTGTTGAACACAATTTTAACTCTGTGCCACTCAAGATATTGTTATCATTACATTTTGTCTGTCAAACATCAAACAGATGAAGAGTTGGCTTGCAGCTCACAAACCCCACTAATCATTACAGAATCACCATATTGTAGGAACTTCTATTGATATTGACAGGGATTAACACTAGAACAAAAACTATCCACTGCCTTCGAAACCTTTGTTCATTGCCTTTGTATCTGGGAGCAAATACAAGATGATGATAGTATTTGATATGCAAATGATATCTGGTAACATTTTTGATGTGGTAAATCACAAGCAAAGCACAAACCAAAAGTAATTTTAACTATCCGGTGAGCTACTCCTTCAAACTATGTGTTAGTATAAAATGATGCAAAGTGCAATGGACTGTATGCTAAAAAATGAGGCTCTCAGAGAGTGCATGGGACAAGCAACCCTGTCAGCGGAGTGAATAGTCATGGTTTCATATCTTGTTAGCAAACAGAGTAGGTCTCTAGGGTTTCAGGCAGGCCCACAGAACTTTTCCCTGCACTTGTTAAAGCTGCAACTGCCCTGTCTAACTGTTACTACTTCTGCAGGTTGCAGTAAGTGAGCACAGATCTGCTGCTCATGGGCTATGCTCTTACTAGGCAGCTCATTCACAGACCATTCCCTGCCACAGGAAGGCAATTTCCTTAAAAAGAGGGATTTTACCAGAAATTTCCAGAGAAATGTTCACCTTTGGAAAACAATGAAGCATGGCCAGTTTAAGCTGATAAACTGAACGACCATTTAATGTCATAAAATTATAGAATCATGGCATGATTTGGGTTGGACCTTAAAAGACGATCTAGTTCCAACCCCCTGCCATGGGCAGGGACACCTTCCACTAGACCAGGTTGCTCCAAGCCCCGTCCAACCTGGCCTGGAACACTGGCAGGGATGGGGTAGCCACAGCTTCTCTGGGTGCTCATCACCCTCAAAGGGAACAACTTCTTCCTAAGATCTCATCTCAGTCTCCCCTCTGTCAGTTTAAAGCCATTCCCCCTTGTCCTGTCCCTACATGCCCTTCAAAAAGTCCCTCTCCAGCTTTCTTGTCAGCACCTTTGGGCACTGGAAGTTGCTCTGTGGTCTCGCTGGAGCCTTCTCTTCTCCAGAAGTCAATGTTAGGATGTCAGTGAGAGGAAAACATTATCAGTTACCAAATTACTTCTTATAGTGCAAAGTTTCTCCTCACACAAATATTCCATTCATATATTGCCAGATATTGCTGCTGCTCCTTCACTAGAAGGTGACGAAGAAGTACAAGGCCACTATGAGGATGATGAGAAAAAGGGATTTAAAGTCTCTGATATGCTGCATGCAGCTAAGTACAGCCATACTATTAAGGATGGTTTATCTATTGCAGTTGTTCAGCTCCTGAGATCAAGCTTTTAAACGAAGGATGCTCAGAAGCAAAGCTCTTTAGGAGATACTCACCTTGGGGGAAATTACTTACTGATCATGAACCTGACACATTTTCTAAATTATTTTTAAATACCTCCTGCTAATATAGCTTTTAACTATTTTGACAACTTCTGAAGCACACAGTACTGCAAACTTCAAGCCATTCTTTGCACTAAGAATTTATGGATCTAGAGAGAATTAATTTACTGGAAATTACATCTACAGCACTATAAAGACTTTGCCCTTAGCAGAGCAGGGTGGAAAAGTTGGCAGCCAGTTAGCTATCATTTCTCCCAAGGAAGGATGTTTCAGAAGTGATATAGAAGCAGTCTGTGAACTGTCTGTAAAGGCTCTTCAGTGAAAAATGGATTGTAAAAAAAGTCACTAATGCTCTATTGTTTAACTGTCGAAAATTTCCTATTTAAGGTGAAGGAGAATTTCATAGCTGAGGAGTAAGTTAATACCAAATCATCAATAGCAAAGAATTTTAGTTATTTTTCCCTAGTAACTATTGATACCTGTCTACTTATCAGAGTAGTATGTCTTCTCAGTGCCTGTTAAGTCTAGCCAGTTGCTACCAGTTACCTCAGTACAGCTTCTATATCACACCTGATCCCAGCTGGAATAAGCCCCACTATTTTTTATTTTTGAGCAAAGACACTTTTCCCTATAGAAGACTTAGAAAAGACAGGGGCTGTACCTGAGGGTGTGTTGTAAGTAGAGAAGATCCCGAAACATAGGAAACTTTTTCATAATGCGACTGGATAATCCAATTTGAACTTCCAAGAGCGTAGCCTGAGCTGAGAGGGGTGACCTGCACAGCACCAAACAGCTCCTGAAACACACAGAAAGAGACATTAACATGAGCAAGCCCCTGAGAGATGTTAGAAGAGGTCATTTTATCAACAGTGATATGAATTTTAAAAGTAGTTCTGCCATTCAAAGGTTTTATGAAGCTACTTTCCTGAGCTTTATGTCTGCTGTTTTTATTTACCCATGTCTAACAGGACACATGCTCTGAGAAAAGCTTTTCCCCAGGTAGTACCTTCATAAAACCTCTCTTCTGTGTGAATTCTATGGCAAATAACTGAGTTCACACTGAACCGTAACTTCAACTGGAGGAATCAACCGGGGTCTTGATCCTCTGCCTGCCTTTGCTGTACTGAAGAAGATCGTAGGAGCATCTTTGAAGATGCTATACTCCCTTACTCAAATTTTATTGATACTGGCCTGCAGGAGAGAAGGAAGGACAAGTAGTTCTATTCTGATATAAAACTCTATCTGGGTTACACATTTTGCTGTGGAAAACATAAACGTAACCTCAAATTCACTCACTTTCATATGTTACTGCTTTTTAAATGCTATTTACTAGTGATTTAGAAACAACACCCTGCAAACTCAATCCAAATTTCAGTTTCAGCTCTAAGCATAAGCAACCTGATAGTTGTCTCGTTTCCAAGTGTCATTAGACAGTGTACTGCTTTATCTACACACAGTAATGTGTTATACTTGTTTTGAGAAAGAAAAGAAGCCGCCATGTATACCCCACTAACGTGATTACTTTCTGGTTACTGAATAATAGAACAAGCATCTGATTCATGCTATACTAATAATTTTTCTAGTATCTCAATATGTATTTGGATGCCTTGCAAAACAAGACAGGGTCTCCATTCTTAAGAATGCTTTAGGTTCTGCTGATAAGGAGACATGGAAAACAGACAGCAAACTATTCCTGATGCTGTCACCCAGTTTTGGGTTAACTGGCTAATTAGAATCTGATTACTTTAAAAGCTAGCTTTAGGAAGAGAGAAAATACGTCTCTTTTCTCAGTAACTATAAAAGAATGACTGGCTCAGACGCATAGATCTAAAATTAGCCGAGATGTATCCACACTGTGAGGATAGTAAAAAATGAACAGTAACAGGGATAATGAGGAATCCAAACACCCTCAACCTGTCCAGCTGCTAGACAAAGCTGCAGCTGTTACTTATGTCAGCAGCCGTGTTAGTGGTGGCTTGGGGTCTTTTTTCAGCAGCTGTAATGCAGCACCACACAAACCCAAATCCACCAAATTTAGCACACATCAGCACTGGTTACTGTTTCAAACTGTCTTATGCATAAATAGCAGTCTCCAAACTTCAGTGGCCCATTGCTTAAGAAATAGGAGCAAAGAAAAAGCTTTGGGTACACAACTTACTTTAACCCACCTTTTTATTTCTTACGGCCCTTAGCCACAATAGCAGGTCTCACGGCCCACATGCTGCCTACAAGCCATAAGGGAACCTACTGAATTGTTGCTTCAGTTCATTCTAGAAACTTCACTGGATTATAGTCAATGGCCTTACAGACAACAAATGTCAGCTGGGAACCCTGGGAAAGGAGTTTCTGAAGTTCAGGTCGAACCATTAGGTTTTGTTTACAATCCCTAATTTGCAGTATAAAAGAAAGTGGAAGCTAAAGCACTCAAAAGATTCCCAGAAGTGAGATACATGGTAACGCAGAAGGGGATGTGGCTTACAGACAGAGAGGATACATTCATTTCGTACATCCTCCCAGCTCTCAGTGGGCCAGCCATCAGCTCCAAATTTGAAGGTACACCGCCTTAAAATTGGTCCTCTTGGGGAAGAGGAGAAACAAATAGATACTCCCTGATTTCACCCAAGAAGAACCCTTCCTGGGAGGCAGACTGAAGGACATTCAATATAATCTTATCTTGCTTTCCTAGGCTAGGGTAACCAGATCTTACACAGGATCTAGAAGAAACACAGAAAAGTAAGGACATTTCCAGAGAAAAGCTGGGAAACAACAAGTTGTTACTGTTGACCTGCCAGCAGCTTTCCAGGTACTCACAATTTTCTGAGAATACCCCACTAGCTGGATCTTGCTGAGCGCAGCATTCACTTCTGGCATGGTGTAGCACTTCCTCCACATAGACACCTCCACTGCGTCCTTCAGAGGGACAGGCAGCAATCTGCAAAGATCAATGGGGTGTGGGCATTTTCAGGACTTTCTGATGGACCACCAGCTTCTACACCCATTTATGTTCTCCAGATCTTAGATTTTTCTCTTTTTTTCTTCTTTATCTTTTTATTTTAAATATGTCTGTGCTTCAAAGTGAGGTGCAAAACTTTCTGCCTGTTGAGGAGCAGAACCACACTACCCATTTTTACCTCACCCCAAAGACTGCTCTCCTCCAGCTCTCTTTGTAGTTGTTCTTACTCAGCTCTTTCATCACAGAAGTAGCTGTGATGAAGGTGTTACAGCAACTCTTGTGGTATTTTCACATAAGATGCTGGCTGAGCTGAGATGTCAACATGAAATGCACCACCAGAATTGCGAGATGACTGGGATCTGGGATCAGGGTCTATTTTGCATATCCTAGGGATATGTATATTCTTAAGAATTTGAAAACAAAAGTAAGCCACAATCTCGTGATTAAAGTACAGCTACCAGACCATGAACAAAGGCTGGCTCTGCTCTCATTTCTGTCACCAGTCCCTTAGAAGAGCATGTGCCCCTACACCTCAGTTTCTCTGACTTCAACTCCAATACCCCACTTACCTTCCCAGGATACTGGCAAGGATATACTAGCTGACACTGCAGAGCTCTTTGAAATCCCCTATACGGAAGTATTTAAGATGTTTTACACCAAGTAAAATCCATCCATTCTGCTCTTCACAGTCATTGCAAGTTAGCTGGGCAGTGTCGTCAAGGGAAGAAGTGAACTATAATGTCACAGGCTGTAAGAGCAATAGCTAACTTCTGGGAAATAAATCTTCCTTAGCAACATGAACTGAGGCAGGAAGCAGCACAGCTGCCAAATGCATAAGAATAGGAGGTTTTTTTGTATATTAAACCAATGCTAAATCAAAGGCTAATTCAAACCAATTTCCAAAGATTTATGGAAATTAGTCAAGTTTCTTTGATCAATTTGTTTAAAGGAAATTAATTTATTGTTATATCTACCAGGTCAGTGAACTCTTCCATAATTTAAGACACTGAAGAAAGGATTAAGGCCAGCTATTGCCAAGACTGCTGCACAGGTCTAGTGCAAGAACTGTAATTCCAGCACATGCTGGCTGAAAGCATACTGAGCTTAAGGAAACAAACAAAGTCTTCAAGATCTTTTTTGGGAAGTCGTAAGCAACAAAAAGCCAAACAACATGGATAGTTGTCCACCACTGCACTGAAGCAAATTGCCTGTAAAAGCCTTTAACCTACCATAAGAAGCATTTAGTGTTGCATGCTTTCATGAGCTTCTCTTCTGGGAAGAGGAGAATATATCTACAGGTAATGGAGAAAAGTGGGGAATTGTCCTTGGTGATTGAAGTAAGTTTCTATTAGTCTTCACTCTGTGGCTACACAGTAAATATACTCTGATCCCCAACACAGACCAGTGGGACAAGACTCCAGTGGTTTCATTCTTTGTCAGGTGGCACACAGAAACAACGAGGACTTCTGGTTCCTCAGATGTGCCGCTGCTGGCACTTAAACCTGCCACCCTCCATTTTAAAACTTGTACGGGAAGTTACTAGAAGATATTTTAAGGTCTGGAGTGAATCTACTAATGCTATGGCAACATCCTCTTACGGATCACCTCATGACAACCAGACGTACGTGGGCAGATGCCAGGACAGCCAGCCTATAGCCACAAACAGGAAGGTATCACGAAGCAGCATGGTCCTGTGGTTAGTGTATAAAATTTGTGCTTAAAAAACTCAGAGGCTTGTATTCTTAACTGGGCATCTGCAGACAGACAGTCCCTTCCGTTCAAGGCAAATAACGTTTAGTGTATGACATAACATGTTCTTGTTTGAAGGGAGAGGAGGATGGCAGTACCAAACCAGATCAGAATACTGGCCTCTCTTGTCCTCTGTCTCAAGAAATAGTCTATTTCAGACACTTTTACAGAAAGACAAAAGAAACCATCAAATAGGTAATGACAAACTGTCTTTCATAGGTCAAACTTCCTCTTTAGCCCCCTGAATCCTAATCTGTGTGAAAGATATCCTGGGTGAGCATCTATGGAGCTTCCACAAGACTGCTCATTTAAAATAAAACCTAATGGTAATAAAACTTGCTAAGCAATTAGTTCAGACTGGATCTGATAATAAAAAAATGTAAGCCACTATAATGAACTTTTATATTTATACAGTATTTGCATTTAAAATGCTTCAATGCTTTATCTAATGAAGATGATAATACTTTATGTTTTATACTAACTATTTAGAGTAACACTAGCTGAACTGTAAAGCAGTAATGGTGATTGATCAGCCTGAAAAATTGAAGTTAGACTCAGAAGTAATATGTATTCTGTTCTAGCAACTGCCAACTATTAAAAAAAATTCATCAAGGATCACATTTTCTTAAATAACGGATGTCAGTCCAACCCTGCATGTGCTATTAGCCAGGTGTTAATTTGTGGATCAGTAGATGTTTGCTCACATGCTATAATAATCAGTTCCATTTACGCTTGCATGGCACTTGTCACCAGGAATCTCAAAACACTTTGCAAACATTAATTAAGTCCCTGTATACCCTCTATGGTGGATAGGAGCTCCATTTTGTAGAAGCATAGGGAGCTGAAGGGGGAAACTCAGAACACAGGTGGGGTACAGTTGGAAAGAGAGCTCGGGTTCACCCCCTTGTTCCAGCTCACAGACTGCACTGGTTCATACCAGCCTCAAGGCAGAGTTTACAATAATAGGCTTATGTTACTGAAGAGCTGCAGGGCTACATCTGCCTATCCCCACTAGCACAGCATTTCATTGCTCTGTCTCTGCCTCATATTTGGGCAAGGCATGCATTTCACGAAAGCCGGGGGACCTGCCATTCAATCGAGGTTCCCAACATACCATACTACGGCAGTGGGATGTGCCAGTGTGGATGTGCAGCAGTGGGGTGTGGACAGTGTCCCTGTAGGAGGGACAGGATGCTGTCTGCCCCGGGGGGTAGGCTTATACTGTCCTCCTACCTCATCTGGTACTCCGTTACAACAGCTACTTAATAGTACCAAGGAGGAATTATTGATGTTAGGGTACTTCCCAAGCAACATGAGACAGGAAAAAGTATTTTAAATACTGCTCCAACAAAAAGACTCCAGCCTTCTCTAGCAGATGAATCAGAACAAAAATTACCTCTCTGTGTTCGCCCCTGGAATAGTCAACAGCACACAAAGTGCTAAACAGCACTTTTTCTAAAATATGACCACCAGAAAAGTGACATTAAATGAGCTCCAAGATATATGATCCTCCTTTAAACCATGCATACTAAACACATGCAGTAGTGTGATGAGAATAACGGCTCCAATTCTCCCTCTTTACAACACTGTGAGCTTCGGGAGTAGTTCTGGGCAGGCTAACAGACTCCAAAATTTAAAAAACAACAATATTCTGATCAGAGTACACATCAACCAGCACAAAATCCTGATCAACGTTACTAACTTTGGTTTAGGTTTATGTCTGTGTTTCATTTGCCTTCTTCAGAAGAGTGATAGTGCTGAGTTAAGACTACTAAGCTCAGCAGGGCAGTACAATGTATAGCTAAAAATATGTTAATTTGGATTTTTCATTTCTTTGCTTTGTAATATTGGAAAATATCAGGACTACTTTTATAGTGCATGAAATAATTCATTTTTAGTAAACTTTTAAATCAAGCAACGTCAAGAATTAGGAGTAGAAAATGGGAGATCAATTAAAAATGCACAAAGCAGCTTTTAAAAATAACTTTCTAATCAACAGTCCCTATCTTTAAAACGTGCTAAAAATGAAACTGTCTCCTTCATAGAACATGTTATGCACCTAAATCTGTTTTATTTCCAAGAAAAGCATTATCTGCAATTAGTAACCTGTATGGATAATTTTCAGATTACATAGGCTTTCAAAATTGTAGATGTAGAAGACCTCAATTTTGAGCACCTTGTTTTTATGTATAGATGGAATAATGGTCAGAGAGCTTGCAACTAACCCTTTTTATGCAGATTTCAATTTGCCTCTAAGCTTTGAAAAGCCAAAAAATACACCACCCCCCTCGCTCTTCAAGTGTAAAAGAGGTTGTAAGCCCTCGGAGGAAAGGTAGCACTGCTCTGTGTTGGCCACCAGTGACCTTCAACAGCTGTAGCTTGACTTTCTTAGCATTTCAGCAAACATTAATGTAAATGTTGTAAATTAAAATTATTCCAACACAATATAATTAGGTTTAAATAGCTCGCTAATTTCAACAGCTTCTTACAATGTTAATACAAAAATTTGCTGGGTTTATCTACCACCATGAAGCTAAACTACGTGAGCAGAGATCAGGGAAAACTTTCGTGTTACCAAGTCTTCCTCCAAGGTTCAAACTTGTATGGTTGTTTGGAAGACGAACAATGGTTGATCAAAGAAAGAACTGATCCAAGGAGTCACAGCTGTAAACCTCTTAGGCTTTTTTTCTTCTGCTTAGTGGTAGCAGCAAACCTCAAATGGTGGTAGCTGACTCATCATTACAGTGAATTCTAGACTTTGGTTAGTGTTTTAGGACAGTCACCCTTTCTTGGTGGCTTGTTCCTTACCTTTGTACCTCCTTGTTCTTCCACATGGAGGCAGACTGAGCTTTTGGCACACGTTCAATAGAATTCACCAGTTCTTCCATGAGAAGTCTGAAAAGACATCCATCCTAACTGAATTAGTATTTCAGTCTTTCACTCAGGAGAGAACTTTGTCCCAAATCTTTCCAAAATACCACACAAATTGTAACACTATTAGTCAGTTTTAAAGAGGGGTTCTTCCCAGAGGCATCCTACTCCTGTTTCTTCATTGAGTGTTTCAAACTCAAGCTAGTTTGTTTCTGTCTGCTGGCTGCAATGGCAGTGGATCTGGCCCACTAGCTTATGGGTTATTTGGAAAGTGGCAAGACAAGAGGAACTCCCAAGCCTCTCTTCTGCTGTGCGAGAAGATTTCTTTGTCACTGACTGCTTGTCATATGGAATAAGACGAAATATACAAAGAAAACTCATTAGCTGATGCTTGTTTATCACTTAGAGAAGTCACGAACACTGTCAGTGAACTCTCCTCATCTACAAATGCACACTACAGCATTCAAGACAGAAAAACGTCAGGCATTAAAAATTGTCATTGCAGATTTCACTGCCCAAAACTGAACAGCATTTTTAATTGCATGAATGCTTCCCCTTGAAGGTAGGAAGTCACAGATGTAACTGCAGAAGAACAGCACCCGGAATTACTTGGGGTGGGGAGAACCACACCAGTTATTCTCCAAGAAGACTATGCTTGTTACCTTTTTATATCCCAGGGGTCTACTACTAGTTCATATTAATACAATTCCTTTCACCTACAAGGGCCTTCAGTTTCTGTTTGCTTTTACGCAACGGGAGAATTAGTCTGGCATGGAAAGTTTGCATAGGACCTTTAAAAGACAAAGATTCCTGCCCTGAAGTGCTTACAGAGAGGTTCAGTTACCATGGCCTAGTCTGGTCTCTAATTATTGAACATGGCAGCTGTTCTGCATGAAGGATGCACACAGCACAAGTCCAGTGAGACCTGACCGAGGGCCAAACCTGCAGCCTTTGGTATTGACCTATCCAATCAACAGACAACTTCGTAAGAAAAGACTACCAAATTTGATGACCAAGTATTAAGTTTTTGACTGCATTGTCAGGCCTTACATTTTCTACTTCAGTCTCATATTTCTGTTTTTCTCTCTTTGGAATTTCTCTTTGGAGTTCAGAGCTTATGTATCTCAACTGTCATTTGAGATGAAGCCAGCTTAAATTCCCTTCCGTGGTGTGAAGGAAAGTGTGATTATATGAATTTCAAACACTGAAAAACAACAAGGCAACAATCAAAGTCATTTACTGTTGAAAAGACTGGTGATTCCTTTTTTTTTCTTAAGGGAGCAGAGAGGAGCAGGAGAGATCTTTGATTCATGGTTTTTGAAGGTTTGGAGTTGGCTTTATGGTAATTGCTGCCCAAGGTGTCTCAGTCCACTCAAGATCTACTATCCCACATCTAACTGCTTACACAAAGCAGCTGCTGTAAATGTTGAAGACAAATGGTTCCAGAGGTTGGGAAACACTGAGTTAATACATTTGCAGCACTAAGGACTTGGCTGGTGTTCAGCTACTGCCTAAGAGCCTCTTCGGAACATTAGACACCACTCCTTTACTCGTATTGTCCTTTACACCTTTTGCTTAGCAGTGATGAAAGAGGAGTAAGAGCATATTAAGGGGCTTTTTACCTGCCGATTTGAACAGTGGGCTCAGTGGCATAAACCGTTCCAGTGAACCCTGTGTATTCTGTGATATAGGGCAATGCCATCATGCAGTGATAGTTTGAGATCAAGATTACATCTACCGTGGAGAGGTCAAGCAGCTCAGTCTGGAAACAGAAGAAAGAGATAAGCAATATGTAACCCTTTCACGCAGCTTAAGCAATGGCAGAAAAACTTCTTGTTCTTTTTTTTTTTTTTAAACTTTATATTGCACAAATATAGCCAGTTCATAATCAGGTTAAAAAGTGGGGAGGGGCATGTGCCAGCTGTGGCAAAGAAATGACATTTCCTTTAAATTAACAATATTTATTTTAAAAGCCCCCTAAAATTATTCCCTTCTAAAACCTAAAATGGAAACCATGTCCTGGGTTTGTCTGCCTTTCATGTAATGAAATGGCTGCTGTTAAAAAAGGCTCAATGATTACACTTTTATCGAAGAACTGATGTGTACACTTCCTTAGGAAGCTTCCTTCGGAACACTGTGTAGACAACAAAATTTCCACGGTTAGTGATTTAGCATGGTGTCTTGTATTTTTTTTCTGTGGCACATTGTACTGTACCCCAGGAGAGTGAGAGAGATGAATGTAGGCTGTATTTATTCATATGCTTAAAATAATTCCCATATTTTCCCAAACTAAATGCTTGGTATCTTTATCATTCATGTTTTCTACAACAGGAGATTAAGCTCATTCATAGGATACAACAAAACAGACGGATGGATCCAATTTGTTTTGATGTGACAGTTTAGACAGAAGTTCAGAGAAGGAAAGATTTCAAATATTGTTAAAGGAATTTTAATTAGAAATATTTACTGGTAATGCTATAACACAAATGGTGTCAAGTCAGAAATTTACAAGATATATGACCTCTAACTCGGTTATTATAGAGCAGCTAATGGAATTCAACACTCATCAAGCACATATTATCTGATTACAAGGCTTGGTCCAGCAATTTGAATAAAAAAGGCAAGAAAGTAGGTCACTCAGCTTTTCAGAGGGCTGACACGGTGCTCTGGTGACAAGCTGCTTAACTCACACAGCTAAGCGTTCATGATTTCAATCCGTGATCACAGCTAATATTGGAGGCATGATCTCCAAGCTGAATGCAGTAGGTGAAACACCATCCTCAGAAGTGTGACAGGGCACCCTTTTATCTTAGTAAGCTTGTCAGGCAGAAATACTCTCTGTGTGGTATCAAGAGTCTGCTGATGCCTGCTCCTACCAAGGTGGCCATTCATGCCTTGCTTTTCAGCTGCGTCCAGACCATAGTCAAATGGCCCAGCAGTGTGCACTCCCAGCCCAGAAAGCCAACCACGTCTTGGGCTGCATCACCAGCAGCGTGACCAGCAGGCTGAGGGAGGGGATTCTGCCCCTCTACTCTGCTCTCGTGAGACACCCCATGCAGTCCTGTGTCCAGCTCTGGGGCCACCAACATAAGGATGTGGAGCTGTTGGAGTGAATTGACAGGAGGCTCCGAGGCCTGGAGCACCTCTGCTATGGAGCACCTCTGCTGAGAGAACTGGGCTTGTTCAGCCTGGAGAAGAGAAGGCTCCACAGAGACCTTAGAGCAGCTTCCAGTGCCTAAAGGGGCTGACAAGAAAGCTGGAGAGGAACTTTTGACAAGGGCCTACAGGGACAGGACAAGGGGGAATGGCTTTAACCTGACAGAGGGGAGATTGAGATGAGATCTTAGGAAGAAGTTGTTCCCTGGGAGGGTGGTGAGGCACTGGCACAAGTTGCCCAGAGAAGTTGTGGCTGTCCCATCCCTGGCAGTGTTCAAGGCCAGGTTGGACGGGGCTTGGAGCAACGTGGTCTAGTGGAAGGTGCCCCTGCCCATGGCAGGGGGGTTGGAACTGGATGAGCTTGGATCTCTTCCAGTTCAAACCTTTCTATGATTCTATGAAGTGAGGATTCAATCAGCCCTTAGCTGAATCCCAGTCCAGCAAGACATCAGGAGGATACAGACTACCACTTTCCAAGCTTAAGCATCCCACATCTCAGCATGCTAGAAGCACTTACTAAGAGGATGAAAAGGGTGTCAAAACCAAAGCAAAGCCTTCCTTGGGACTTGCAGCAATCTCACTAAAAGTGTGTATGAACAGAAGAGGATTAAAACATTTCTTGAACGTGAAGTCAGAGACACTAGGGGGTTGCCAAGCAAAGAGAGGGCTGCACCCTGCACTCTGACATGTGGAAGTGTACTTCTGCTGCTGAGACAGCCTCTTATCACCTTGTGGCTTCTGGATCACATTCAAAACTTGGCTTTCTTTGGCAATGGTGTTCCTGGAAGTGATACTGTGATTCTCAAACTAACTGCTTTTGCAAACAAGTTTCTTCAAAAGAAGTGGCATGGAAGAAGACAAAGAAAAAGACAAAGGCTCTTTCATGCAAGCTCCTTGTCTGTTCTGCCAAACACCAGCAACATTTCTACACTGCTGATGCATTCAGCTGGCCATGACATTTGAACCCTCCCCCAGACAGGAGAGCCTATGAAACTAGACATGAGAGCTGTGTACAATGAGCAGATCTGTTTCTAGGACTAGTGGAGAAGACCTGGCAGCTCCTGGGAACTTTGGGAACAAGCATTTGAGAGGCCATTTGTAAACTCCCTACAATGGTGACATACAGCTAGTTGTGATCTTCTAGTTGTAAGAGAGTTACAGTCAGTGATAATACCAATACAAGGAAGCAACAACTCCACATCACTCAGAGCTACACATGTGGGTATTTTCCAGCCCAACAAAGTAACCAGAAAGCCCAGCTGAAGCACCTGAAACCCCAGCAGATTATTATCACTGTATATGGCCAAAGGAGATCCAAAACATAAACTCCGCCCTCCCAAGATCTGGGCCATAATGGCACTTTCTAGGCATAAAGATGCTTCCTACACCCCTCCCTTGCATAGCATAGTAATCAGAATGCCCACAAGAACCCCAAATTATTAAGTTTTTGCTTGGGTTTTTTTGTGTGTGTGATTCAATTACACCCATTCCAGTTGGGGAAAATGAGCAATTGCACACAGATCTGTTGAAATCACTTGCCAAAAACAGTGCCAGAGCTGCCAACTTGCTTAGAAGAACCAAAATGACAAGAAGAACCAAAATGACAAGAATCAGAAGCCACAAGAGGTGAGTTGAATGGAATGAAAAGACAGAAATGCTATTGCCAGAACCCCAGCAAAGCTGACAACAACCCTCCAGGAATGTTTTGTACTTCCTGTCAACAAGGTCAGCACTGCCCAAAAGCAATTGTCTCTGTCTTTGAAAGACAGAGAAAACATCCCAACATGAAATGAAAGAACTGATGTTATCGCAGTCTGAACACAGCTGAGGAAAGAGGATACTATTCCCAGACTACTCCCCATCATTCACCCCCACCTCTCTTTGCTCAACTTTCTACTTCTTCAGCTCTCCTATATATACACCATTAACTGCTCAGTCTGGTAATCACAGCTAATTCAGCATTTTCAACAGCCTTTCTTTCTTTCTTTTTTTTTTTCTTTTAAACCCAGCTATTCTTGGGAAAAAAACCCACAAGTTGGGAAGCAGCACTTGCAGTTATGTCAGTGGATATGAAGGTAAAGCTCTTCTCGCAAAGAGGCAGTGATGAATAGCTGAGAAGGCAGCAAAACTTTTTAACCTCAATTTGCTGCCAGCAGAACAGCACATCTGAGTGCAGCCCAACACAATCAAACAGTGGCTTAACCACACAGTTCGCTTCCCAGGGGAGCTCCACTAGGCAGGTCATGCGTCTGTGGTTAGAAACAAGTAGTTTTCCTTGTCTTCATTCACTGCTCTTATCTAGATTAGCACATGTATCCTGTCATACTCAGGTCCAGCTCAGTCATATTGTTTTTGGAAGGCCCATAAAAAGAGACAGTGAAGTCTTATTCTTCTGTGAGATACTGATCTGCTCAAGTAGACTTTCCAGTTCTCCCCAAACCAGTGTTGAAAAGAGCTGCTGTTTCCATCCTTTTTCCAGTGTCATAGATACTAGAGGCACCTTAACAACACAGAAAGTTTAGTAGCATTATTTACTGAGTGCTGATAAACTTAATAATTCAGCAACTTTCTCCCACGTGATAGAAAAGAATCAGATTTTTCAGCATGACTTTGAACAAACTCACCTCTGGTAAACAGAACTCGGGCACGGAGTCTACAAACACATGGCCAGAGCACTCCTTTAGTTCCTGTAAGAAAAGCACATCAACAGAGAAGACACAAAATTACAGTGCAGTGTTACTCCAGCGCAGCAGATTTTGCTCTTTCAAAACGTTTTCTTTATCCCAGGTAATTTCCACCCCACTCCTACATAATGTTTATCCCTTTTCTAGGTAAAATTTGCTGTAAGCAGACTTCAAGAGATCAGATTCTCATTTGGAGGAACAGAGACAGCGCTCTGGTAGGTAAGGAAAGAGACCTCGGTAAGTACTGAATGGTTTTGCCGTAGCCACGGAGGAGGTGCTGTCCTGTAAGGCTGCATTTTCTCTGCTTTTCCAGCTGCAGATGTGTTGGCTGTGAAATGTGTAACAATGCAAGCTGACTTTGTCTACCAGAAATAAAATACGAACTGAAAAGTGGGTCATGAAGACCACTCTTCTTGGAACTGCTGCTCTCGTGATCTGGAAGGTATGCACAGCACTGCCTGACTTACAAGTTTGAAATTTAATTTTCATTCCCTATAACATCAAACCTTTTCTGTCTTATTAGGAGCAGAATACAATTTTAAGCCCCTGTCTCAGAACATTTGATGAAACATCTTCTACGGATCTAAGCTCCACATGGCACTTTTTCTTAGATTTCTCTCTACTGGATCTCTAGTCCTCTATTTTCTTCCTCTTTTTTCAAGGCTGACATCAGAAATCTTTGTCACATGAAAAGTCACATTCTTCAGGATAACGTATGGAACAAAAACATTCCCAACTTTAGTCCTAACACACCTTGCAGGATACCTGTCACCTGCTCTGCCTTCTCTTGTGGATGTTTCTCTTGCTTGTCCCAAAGCGAGTGGTCTCAGCCAGCTTCAGACTGACAGAATTAAAGATTGAATCCAATTCTTAATAATTACAGTGCACCTGCCAACTAATAACGAATGAGCAATTACATCTAGTGGCAGAAGTCTCCTAACCTCATCTCAAGGGTGTTCAAAATGATTAAAACTAGATCGCAGCAAATTTCAATGCCTCTCCAGGACTTAAGTTTTATAACTGTCATCCAGAGAGTGCTGTAACAGGAATGTCCACCCGACATGATAAAACACCACCCTTTGACTCCTTCTCTTGCCTTTTTCCAGCATGGGTCAAAGAATTTACCATTCCAAGCAGTTACAATGGTCAAGGTGAAGGTAACAGATGCTGCCTTTGAATTTTTAACACATGATTTCCACTGATGCTGTGTGAGTTTGAAGATTTCTCCCAAGCACACACTTGCAGCGGTACCACAGAAATGTAAATACATCACATATAAAAATATACTGATAGCCTACCCATTTGTTGGACAGAAGGGAGCCCAAAGCTCTGAGACCAAGGCTGGGGTTCAGGAGAAACAAATTCCAGGGAATTCAAGCTGAGCAACTCTGTTCCTTCTCTGAGCCTCTGTAGCTGTGCGATTGCCAGTTAGCATGTGCTCTGAATAGAGCTGTTACTATTTTACTAACAGAAATGCTGCCTGTACAGTTTCTTTTGCCTCCAATGAGAAGAAAAATCAGGTCTTTAATCTATGATCTTCAGGTCCCTTGTCTGTAAAAATCAGATCAATCCATTTTGTCCACCTCAAAGTCCCCTACAAAAGCAACTATTATTACTGTTTTCCTTTAATGTTCACATAGTCAGAGAACAGTCTATTAAAACTGTATTTTCTCTACTGATACCTATTGCTGCACACATTTGAAATATATCTGCCTATTTTACTAACATCTGACATATTTTTGTGTTCATTGTTCCCCTATGGTAGATCAAGCTGGACACTGCAGTGCCTAGTTTTGGTTGAAGCCCCGGCTAAATTCTGCCTACAAAACTAATGTGATGAAAAGAGGGGGGAAAGAAAAAAATCTGTGTCTCTCATGTAGCTGAGTAAGCCCTGTGTCTTAGAATTAGGGGGCTGGAAATAATATCCTCCCTGCTATGTCCAGCAGCAGAACACATGTTGATTTTAGAGGCCAAAGACATGCTTTTCCTCTGTAACTGACTTCCCATGAGGGGAAAACCATTCACTTTCTCACAGTTCTCCTGCCTAAAAAAGGCTATGATACCAACTTCATTTATAAGCACACTATGAAGCTTTAGTGTCAGAAAAGTGAGACTGTTGAATAAAACGCACTCTAAGAAGGCAAAGCACCATTATTTATGGAGCTCCATGAAATAAGAAAATATTCATACTGATGATTTCTGCATTTTAAGAGGATTTTTATAAAGCTGGGCTACCTCTGAAGACTGAAAGCCTTAGAGTTGCTATTAGCATTTTGTTTCAAAATGTTCTGCTCTACAAGGACATCATGGCTGATAAAGGTACACATAGAAACCTTTGCGATGAGTCAGCATGGAAGTATTGTTCATGCAGTGCAAGCTCCTAACCTGTCAGGGAGCTTTTTGCATGCAAGAAAATTCTAACCATCACTATAGTACCTTGTCCAGAAATGTGCTTCCATCTTTCAAAACCCAACCAGGAAGTTTGGACAGCCTGGGGCTGCAGAAAGAGAGAAAAAGCATTATTGCGATATTAATTATATCATTATCAGTCACTAAGCATAGACTTTCTATTTGGTGTCATACAGGAAAAGAACACCATTTCTGTCTCAGGGAACTAACAACCTCAATAAAACAGACAGACAGTTTCACTGTGTTTAAGTGTTCACTGAAATGACTTTTACAAATCATGATTATGACACTTATAAGTAAGAAGAGGACACATGCAGGGAGTTTGATTTTGGTAATTTACGGCGACAGTTTCAAAAAAGCTCAGCACTGCTTACACTGCCCTGTGGTGAAACTGGCTGCAGAAACAGAAGTTAGGGCAGCCACAAACTCTATGCCTGAAACAACACAAAAATACTGTAAAGCTGCCCTGGGACAAATATTTCCACTAGCAATGGCAGGGAAAGGCCGATGCTCTGGACTAGCTCATTTAGAGATAAAAATGTTGCGATTTTATATCCACATAAACCATGGTTTCATGCTGAAGTCTCACCCCAAAGACCCACATCAACAGCTGTACAATGCATTTACCTGTGTTGGAAGGACAAAGGGGAAAGGAGGTTTTGCCGCCAACTGCATGTTTTAAGCTGGCAGGTCTGGTACCAGCCAGCAATGGCAGAGCCCCTTTTTGAAATTGTTTTACATATTAATAAACTTCAACGCGGATGTTGTAATTCTGAGTTTACAGTAGTAATTGCTGCAGCATTTCTTGTTAGCATAACTGAGAGACTTATTCATACCTCACAGTGACATCTGATTTTTGTGTGAGCCTGTAACTTAGCTCTAAACCCACCTGTTCAAGCATATCTACAGAAATCCAAAAATGAAAAAGTTGAGGACACAAAGGAATTGAAGCTGCCTGGAACCAAGTCCTGTGAGAACCTCAGATTTGGAAACTTGAGATCTCATAATGAAATCTGCAAGTGTTGCGCACTAAGCTCTACAGATAGGCATGTTTATATTCTATCAGGGCTTTCAAATTTAAGATCTTGAAAATAGGAAGTGATTCTAGGGCTCAGAGGAATGCTATGTTCAGACTAATATCAATATAAAAGAACAAATCCTAACTGGCACTCCAGAAAGTCACAAGGAAGGAAATGGGGAAATCTAAGACTCAAGGAGTGAAGACAGAAGATAACAGGTGAGAGCAGAAGGATACGTCATTGAGAAGCTGTGCCAGAGAAGTGCAACCCCCTTTTAAGGATAAGGAGTAAGTCTGAAACAGTGTGATTATAGGAAAGATGAGGTGGTTAAATGTACTCCCCACTGCCACACTCAAAAGCACAACTTAAGAGCAGCATTTTGGAGACTGCGAAGGCTGAGTAGAATTGGTGCAGTGAGACTAGAAGAGCTATGGAGAAAAAAAACCAAAAAACATAAACCCAGGGAAAAAGTAAGAACAAACCATTCTGAGGTGCAACAACTTTGACAGACAAGGAAGAAGACAGAAGCCTTGGTTGGAAAGGACACGTGGAGGTCTCTAGTCCAGTGTCTCAAAGCCAGCACTGGATCAGGTCAGCCACAGCTTTGCTCAGCTGTGTCTTGCAAATCCCTGGAGCATGAGATTCTAGAGCCTCTCTGAGGATGGGTGAAATTGCTACAAAAAACTTCATCACTGGGAAGCCAATGTCCAGCCTGAGCCTCTCATGACACAGTTGGTGCCCACTAGCCCCTTATACTGAATGCCACTGTAGAGTTTGTCTCTGTTGCCTTTGTAACTTTATTTCAAGCAGCTGTAGGTGACTGTTAGCTCCCCATGTCACCTCCTCTCTGACAGACTGAACAAGCCCAGCTCCCTCAACCTCTCCACACAGTCATGGGCTCCAAACCCTGACCATCCTGAAGCCTCCTGAACTCTGTCTTCAGTTCCTTAGCGTTCTTCTTTGATTGGAAATCCAAACCTGGATCCATTTGTGGTTTCACCAGCATGAGGCAGAGCAGAATAAACTCTCCCTAATATGCTTGCCCTGCTCCCCCTAATTTAGCCTAGCATGCGGTTTGCTTTATTCATGATAAAAGAGTACTATTGACTTGTACTAAACCTGGCATCCACAGGAGAGTATACAGACTTGTCAGGAGAGGTAAAATTAGCAGATAAGTCTTGTGTGTGGGTGAAAGTGGAATAAGCAACACAGGACAGAAAGGACTCTTTACCTTGGAGCCAAGAAGTAACACTGTTCCTTCTGACATAGTTTTGACATTGTAATAGAGTGATTGATTAATACAAAATAGCTAGAACTGTCCCATAAATAATGTGAGCAAGTGTGTCATGGCTAGACAGGAAAGGTTAAGAGCTTCCCACATGTTCATTTTACCATTTTGCATTTGACTTTGGTACGGGGAGAAAATTCCAGTTGACAAACCTCCTTTAAAGTATATGATGGGGCATAAAGTGTTTGGCAACTGCAGGTACTTTGCACATGCTCCATGGGCTAGTGAGAACAAGGACTGCCATTTCCAGGACAAGGTGGAATCTATATACCTTTTGACAGGCTTTTTTTTGAAGAGCAAAGAACTCTAAAATATGTCCAGTCCCTTCAATGACACAAACGCTACAGAACTTTCCCCTCACAGATTAAAGCAGAGGCTCTCAAAATGTTTGCTCAAGGAGGGCCCCATGCCAGGTACAACACAGGAATCAGCTGCATAACAAAGATCATCTGTAATATCATACCTTTAAGCTCCACAGAGGTAAAGACTAGGGCACTTTGCAGACCAAATACTGAGACTTGCAGAACCCAAGCGGTTCATGGATCATACTCTGGAGACTTCTGGTTTAGACACCAGAGAGAAGCATAGCTATTGCACATGGGTACATCTCAGCACATCTGGTTCTGGGAGGACAAACAGCTGGTAGTAACCTCAGATCTGACAGACCTGTGTTCAAATTCTTGTGATGCTACATGCTTCGTGCTCAGGCAGTCAGTCCTTCTTGTAGTCCCCCACCTGGAAACTGGTAATAATGTCAGCTCTCTGTCACACGGCTATGTTGGCAATACATATTTTGAATTTCAGGGGTATTTAGACATCACAGCAATGGTACAACTATGAACAAGTCCTCATCTGGACTTTTTAGTGACAGCCACATTCCTCCTCAAGTTTCTAACTCATTTCCACAACTCCCTGCAGGACATCTGTTCTGTAGAGTACTGAAGAGATCAATTACTTGCCCAAGTCCATATGCTCAGGACAATCCTTGCTGTAAGGGGTGTTCAATCACCTTACCAGCAAGATTGATTGGATTTAAATCCAACTGTTTGCTCCGGATTCCACTGGGCCATCAGGGGTCACATCTGACATCCTTTTTTATTGAGTTTGAGTCATTCCAGTGCAGACATTCTGGAGGTACTTGGGGAATTTCAGGTTGTGACCTGCAATTTGGCTGTTCATTCCCAGGGTCTGTTATCAGCAGACAAAGCTGGCATATCCCAGGGGAGTGTTGATGCCTGCAGTTCTAAAGAACCTCTTAAGCCTTTGTTCAATCACCTAAATTTGCTACTTGTTCTTCTCTGTTTCCTTTTTCTTTGGGGAGTGGGAGAAAGCAAAGGCCAGGCAATTCTTAATTTCCCAAATTTTCTGGATCCCTTCCAAATCTACTGCTGCCCCTAAATGTTGTAGTTAGCAATTATGGAATGGGACAAAAATTGACTATCACACTGATCCGTCTTAAGGCATCTGTTGCCTACTCTACAGCAGATCTTGAACTCCATGTTCTTGCAGAACAATGCATACATTGTCTATTCTTTTCATCTCAAAAAATAACAAATCATAGGAAGTGCTGGATAAACTAATTTAACCTCATTAGGTCACTTAGGAAACTCCCTTTCCCAGTCATATTCTCCCTCTCTCAACCAAGCCTCCCCTGAACCCAGAACGTTCCTCACTTGTTTCCTTGTTGATCAAAATTAATAAATGGCTTTTGTGAAAACTCCTGTTGCTTCCCATCACCAAGAGTTTACTCATTTCCACCTTTCCAACCACTCATTTTTGTAATTTATTCCATTTATGCAAGACATAAATCACCCTAACTGAATAACCAAATTCATCTAAAAATCAGGGATAAGATTACTTCGTAGTTAGGGCATAGAAGGGGGTGCCTTGACCTCAGGATTCTCTTCTAGACTCTCCTTTTGTTTCACTGCCATTCCATTCCCATGCTCAGCTGCACTGCCCTTTTGTTTATTTAATTTTTTAAAGGGAACAATTATGCTATCAAGTCAACTAACGAGACTGTTAAGTGCTATTTTTCTTTGCATTAGTCTGTGCTCTGAAGAAAAACCTGAGAAGATGGTGGTTAAACAGTACTTGCACTCACTCCATCTCAGTTATCCATTTGTCTCATCTTGCATGAAGAAGCCAGAAAGATGACAGATATGTGACCTCACTTGTGCTGAGCAGTTGCAGCAATACTTTACTGAAGCTTAGAATAAATTATCTAGAAAAACCAATCAATAAATCCATAAAATGTCTTCCGTCTACTAAGCCAAAGGACGTTATTTTGATAAAGAGAATTTTTAAGTGAACAAAGTCTATTTATGATATCAGATGATGCTGTTCATTTGTACTCATCCTCTCCCTACTTCCAGTACACCAATTCACACAGAGCATTCCAACTGCAACCCAAGAAGACACAGACAAAGTGCTTACAGGCTGCAGAACATACCTCTGAACCAGTGGCAAGGGGAGGAAATTGAGGGTAGACGTCATATCTAGCCCACAGTCCAACATGATGGTGGTGGATTTGAACTTGAGTACATTGCATGGTAAGGTTGGGTGTCCTGACAGGCAGTACTGCAAGAAGATGACAAGGATGAGTTACTCACGACCTTTACCAACAGTAACCTCCCCTCTTGGTGAAAATTGCCTTTTTTTCCCCTTATTTTTAAACATACAGTTTTCTACACACTAGAAGAAAACCTGATTTCCTATAAATCTGTGCCTCACAGCTCTGTGTGTTCATTGAGATATCCCCATGTCAGGGTATTATGGGGTGGACTTTCTTCAGTCAAGGGTTGAGAGGATGACATAGCTCCTTTTCCAATTTAGGACACATGAAGATTCTCTTTTTTTCTATCAGTCTCCTATTTTCACAAAAATCCCAGAACATTAGTTTCTTCAAAACTCCGTCCTACTGGCAAAACCTGGCTGAAGTTGGCTAGCAAATTTGAACACTACTTGGGGTGGAAAAGGAGGGAGAGAATCCCTGCAGGAACATAAGTTTTATTTCCTTAAGAAACCTGCCTAAACACCCAAACAAGGCGCAGCCCCAGCCTGCTGTGGCTGCTTGGCACGGATCAGCAGGGGAAGCTGCAGTGTGCACCGAAGCAGCTCTGGGGCATGCTCTCACCTGCTTTTTGTCTTGCTAAACACAAACAGGAAACACGAGGGAATGGACAACCACACCTGAATGGAAGGGTTTGTGTACTGAGAAATCCCAACTGCTTTGCAAGCTTAATGAGCCAGTGAGCAGGTTATGTACCAGGGCACTTCAGCATCTTTGAGATGCAGTCACCTCTTGTATGGAGAGTGGCAAACACTTAACAAGGCACAGGAGCAGCTGAAGCTTTGAATAAGAAGAGAAGTGAATAAAAATGCCAGCTATTAAAATGCGGGATTTGAAACGTAAATGCCTGAATAGACCATGGCTGCCTAGAGGTGACCATTTCTCTTCTTTGAGGAAGGATTAATTCCTTCAGGGATTGCAAAAAGAGATTTTGCATCTGGAATGAAAGCTTTTGCACCTCTGAAGTCTGTGCATCTGGCAGCTCAGGTGGCCAAACTTTAGCTTTTAAATTCAAGTTTTGATCAATTAAGATGAAAAATATCAGTTAGTTGGCCATGCACTGCACTAAAACCAGACTCAGTCTGTTTTCTAAGTCATTTATAGTTACACTTGCTCTCTATACTTCATTTGACAAAGGGGAAAGAAGGTAGATTAATAATTTCATTTCCTATCTCTGCTCACAATATGTTAACACAGGACTGCAAGTGTCTGGATTAACAACTCCCAAGGAGTCTATTACATACATTCATCAGAAATCTGTTTTAAATCATATTTAAATATTAAAAAGCTACTAAGCCCTCAATATTAAATTAAAAAGATCACAAAGACTTTGTTTTAAATTCACAAAGCCTTAGTTATTAAGGAGCAACATTACATTTTGCCTGCTATCAGCAAAGTTCAAAACAATTGTGAAAAGACAGGCTGGTGAAGAAGGGAGAACACAGGTAAGGAATTCAGTAGGTTTATCTGTAAATGTAAAATACACATGTGAAATTAAGTTCTCGCCAGACCAGAACTTTGACAACTGATGCTATAAATCCAATCAAGTAGAAAGAAACAAAGGAAAGAAAAAACATGAACTATTTTTGTAGCTTTTGAATTATCAGTAATTAAAAAAGGTGATGAAATATTACCACTTTTATCAGCAAAACACTTTCTTGCTTTTATTAAAATCGTGAAGAGGATCATGACCCTGACATCTCTGAGCTAACTGGAAAATCTTTCTTTTTTCTTCTTTAAATGCATCTAAAATAATCTATATCTGTGGCTGTCATGCTGTGGTAAATGGATTCCTGGGAGGCAATGGGTTCTTTCTACCAGATTCAAGTGAAGTGACTAAAAAGAACTAAAAAAGCAATTCGTATCTTATAGAGCTATTTGCACAGGTGACATTTCTGGGCCTGTACCTCTATTAGAATTTTAGATTAGTAATCTGAGAATCTGAGTGTTTGCACTATATACATCTCTAAATTCTATAAATGCACTATGTGATAATTTTTACCCAGTTCATACTTGCTACTGTTTAAAACTGGTCCAGGCATTCCAGTCACTAATATTCCTGACTGGACTAAAACACACATCCCTTCTGCTCTAAGATCTGTCTCCTTCCATCTTTATTCCCTTATGGCTAAAGGCTGGTGCAGCAAACACACTAGGCACCTAACTTAAAAGTAGTGATAGAAAAAAGACACAAATCATACAAAAGATATCAACATGTCCAGCTTGGCTCATAACCTTGGCAGCCTTTGTAAACTGGATGGAAGTTTGACAGAGCAGGGCACAGAGAACAGAATGAGGGGCTCATTCCAGCTGCTGAGGCCCTCACAGCAGCAGGTTCTCAGCAGACATCTGCTTCACACTCAGCTCGGAGTGTCTCTGGTGATCTCATGGATGGCAATGTGACAGAAAAGAGATGATGTCTCACAGTAGCAGCTCCAAAACATGCAAGATTTTGCAGGTTAAAGCCAGTGCTTTGAATTCCAACAAATACCGCAGTGCTTTCTTTCAGTAATATCTCATGCAACTAGGTTTGCCTGGACCAAAGCACAGTTGAATTTGTGGGAATCTGACATTTTCATTGGGCTCAGAAGAAGGTCTAGAGTCTGTCACCTCTCCCTTGTTCTTCCAAATTCCACCCAAATAGGGGGGGGGGGGG